TTTAGGTTGATTTATTTGCAATACCAAAGAGTAACTTAAACTGAAGCATTCTTTTATTCATTTTCAAAGCGATCCCTGTGAAAGCAGTGTTTCTACCACTGAAGTTCATCCCTCTGGCTTCCTATTCCTTTCCCCTGCTGCTAACACTTTAATGTCTCAGTTCTTCATCGACTCATCAGTTCCCTAGGCTTGAAAACTAATCCTCTGAGGTCAGTGAGGAAACTTCCATGGATTCTGTGAGGTTTAGAATTAGAACGTGCACTTAGTTCTCCTTCTTCTTTTACCTCCCAACTTCCTTTTATTTATTCTGGAATTTATTTACTAGTCACTGTAGTCATTGCATATCTGGTGCCATAAAATTGAGAATGAAATGCACAATAAGAAAGAGAACTAAATAGATGTCTCTCCATCCTTTTTAGTTTACTAATTCTTGATTTAAGTCACATTTTACCCCAGGTTACTTGTTATCTTATTTAAAATTTCTAAGCACTTCTAGACAGTTATCATATTTGACACATTCCTACAGCAACTAACACATACAAACATCACAGCTGTGAGAAGTGTATGATGGTAATTGAGAATAATAATTCCAATCACTTGTATTTACAGTTGATCTGACCGATATTGCTCTGGGAGAACTACATCCCTAGAAAACCACCATCAAGTACTTAATACAGCTATTCTTCAAATTTTAAAAATCCAAAAAGCAAACATAAGAACACATACTTCTAAAATTCAGTAACCTTTAATCAGTTTAAAGAACTCTGGTACAATACTTCTAAGATTCAAAACACATTTGCAAATTCAGTCTCAACTTAGACAATTGAATCTTAGCATATTTGTACTGAAACATTTGCAATTACTCCACTAACAGCAATTTCACACACAAATGTCTTAGTTTTGCAATGTGGAAAAGAACATCAGAATTTCTGTGTTGATTAGTTATTTCAACTAAGGGCTCTCAAAAAACCTAACTCAAACCAGAAAACATTATGCCATAGTGTTCAAAGCCATGTATGTGAAAAAAGCATCTGTAACATCAGTCCAGTAACTCGGCAGTCACAAGATGTGTTTAAAATATTTTTATTTTATATAAGTAGTATTTGTTGTCCTCCATTTGAGAACATTGTATTCATTTACATATGGACTTGATACAGTAGTAAAATGCACTTACTATCCTTCATTGCTCCTTATAAGGACACAGACAAAATTAAAATATTAGATAAAAGACCCCACTTGTCTCCCTGCTTTTTTTCCTCTCCAAACAATTCACAAGAAGCAAGCATGCCTCTTCCTTGTACAGAAAATATTTAAAGAAATACCAGCTAACAAAATATGAATACTTTCAGAAATCATATATTTCATCTCTTTAATCACATAGATGTAACCTAAGGATAAGGTAGACGTACCTGATACAGAAAACAGATTATCATTGTACAATATTTCAGCTAGTAGCTAACAACAACAACAAAAAATGCCACAAAAAAAGTGAAGTCATACAAGTAAATTGTCTATTTTCTTCCAGACCAAACGCAAGAGTATCCTATGCAGGTCTGTGAGCAGACCCTAAAATGACCTGTACAACAATGCAGGCACACATGGGCAGGTACACTGATAAGAAGATATATTTCCATTTCTTTTCACCTACTGTTAGGACCCAGAATCAACATAATTGGCATGCACACTTTTTTTGTGAGCACTTTAAGATATTAAAAGACAGATACTAAGATGTGTTTGCTTATAAAGCAACATTTTAATGATTTCATTATATTATAGATAATTAAGTTATGCATGCATAAACAAGGAAAATAAAGGGGAAAATTGATCACATTGCAGTCACACTGTCATTTTCCTATCTCATCACATCCAATACTTGCATATTTATTTCCAGTTAAAAAAACAATAGAACACAGAAAAATACACTTGCTCCTGCAAAGGAGCTTTCAAATTAAAGTAAGCAAAGAAAGATTAAAGTAGGAAGGACCACTCCCAGCATACAATAATTTCAACTGATAACAAGGAACAATGCTGAAAAATCAATTGCAGAGTGCACCGAGTGACCGGAGAACACTGACTCTAAGATATGTGCTTCCAAAGGCCTGCAAGTCTGAGATAGAACAGAGCTCTTAATTTCTGAATGTAGGAAATGCCAAAGCAAAATAAGCTTCCCTTTGAGTTGAGCTATTGAAGTGTAGTAATAGCTTAAAAAGTCTTCAGCGTTTGGCAAATGAACAAATGGCAGAAAACAGCAAATGAGATTTTTCTATTAGAGTTATAAAGATTACTGCATTTAGATTTGCAGTTTCGCATGAATAAATTCTATTTACATAATTTTGGAAGAATATTCTTTCTAGTTTGGCCAAAGTTTTAAAACAAGGCCCAAGTGATATTACTTTTCAAGTCTGTATAAAGTTCATAATTTTGCTTTAAGCCTCACCAATTAAAGTTAAGATTTGTTTCTCAAAAGAGCAGTAAAATATTTTAGCAACACAGAAAGCTTAATTAAATTCATATGTTTTACTTTCCAGATTTAGGGGCATTTTTACCATTCGGTGCTTTATGAAGTATCAATATTGTTTAAAATTTAAAGCACCTGATCAAAGTAACTTGTGCAAAATATTATCTATTGCACATCACAACACTGTGGAATCCATCCAAGTGGCAATCAAAGAATGTGTGTTTAGGCTTAACCGTAGATTTTGCATTAAGTTGTAAAGCGATTTTACTGCATCAATTATTTTATTTCATTTGCCTTTAATTGCCCATAACCAGGCACAGAGGCATCTTTCAAAAAATGGTCAATTGCTCCCTCTACTGGAAATAGCTGACCATTACACTGCAGGTACAGATCTCATTTAGCACCACAATTAAGAAGCAAAGCCATTAAATACACCATAGGTGTTTTCTTCTTAAATTTTGCTCAAATCAGCTAAGTCGTGAAAGATCAATTAGCTGTAATTTCCAGTCTTTTACCAAAAGTATTAAATCACGCATACTTACAAAACATAAAGTAGAAAACGTAGAAGACAAGGAAAACATAAAAGATTCTCAGATACCATAAAATGATCCCCCACCAAACATGAGAAACCTAAAATGAAGACTACAGGATACTCTATGCTCTCCCTGTGCTCTGCCCATTAATGGAGAATCTTCTCCACAAGGATCTTCCTTGAGAAAATTATGTGAAAGTTGAACAGTCTTCAAAAATGAATTACTCACATTCAGTGAATGCAAAGAAGAAAAAATTCTCACGCAAAACAATGTAAATAATCTAAAATAAAACGATATGCATCTTTCTGCACAAAAAATTCCAATTACCTTTGTCATATTTGCCTTGAATAAAACACATCAAGTATACAATGAAAAGTCAATGAGTTAATTTTCAAGATTCTGCGACTACAAAAATCAATGCTTATTTCTTAAACACTACTAGGAAGAAAATAAAACTGTATCTCAAAAGCTGCATCTATTATATTCTTACCTATGAATTCAAGCTCAGTGAGAAATGATCCATTTGCTGATGCTGAACTAGCAAACATAGCAATTGCCAGAGTCTGTACTAAATAAAGTACATTCTGCTGGCTCAGCAAACTGTAATTACACAGATCAGTAACAAGCACTCTTACACCACTTTATCTAGCAAAGATATTGTGACTCGTATCACTTGTTTCCTTTGGCATTTGCATTAATACTAATGATATCAAGAGATCTCAGCTGAGAAAGACAATGGCTTCACTCTCAGCTTCATTTGTTACTCTATCCATACCCCAATAGCACATGGAGCCAAAATATCAAAATCAAAGATACTTCTCCTGATATAACAGCTATATTAATTGAGAATTAGTTAACAGTATGTCAGTTGAGGAGATCTCTGAAATAACAGACAATACTGTCAATTTAAGCTGTATAATCACATTAAACAGTAAAAAGAATTAAGTAAGTGTCCTAGTAAGAGAGATAACTTCTACTTGGAGAAGAACACAGATATTACTCCTTAGTATTTAAAAAAATATAAATAAAGGGTTTGGTCTGCTTGTTTAACAATTTTCTTACACACACTACAACAGTTTCCGCAGCCTGATCAGTCAGCAATATTTTTGTGACCGTACTCCAAAAAACAAAAACAAAAAAAAACTACCCAAACAAACCAACCACCAACACACCACCACCAAGATTATCCTCTGAGGAAAGGGTCTCTTCTAAGAAGAAAATTCCCGGGTAAAAAAAAACAAACAACATCTCCAAGAGAATAACACATTGCTTTAATCATTCAGAAATGCATGCTTAATCTAAACTACCTCAAACATACGTGAACAAACCAGAAGTAGGAAAAGTGGTCCAAAAGAGAAACATTCACCAATTTTACTCAACAATTAAGTTAGTTAGTCATAAAATGACACAATTAAGGCAGAAAAAATATAAAGTGCTGTATTTATTACAGAATGTTTTGAAATGTATTACTCTTCAGATGTTTGTATAACATTAGAAACTGTTTGAAAAATAAATTGTAGCAGCATTTTACCAAGTATTAAACACAACTAATGGCTGAGAACAGAAAAGAGGCAGGAAGAGATGCAAGCAGAGTCAACTGTGATAAAGAGTTTAAGAACATTATTGCCTCTTAAACCAGGAACTCCTAGATTGTCTGGGAAGTACACAAAAATATTACAAGATAACAGTAAGAGAAGAATCAGTGTTAAATTTTGTCTTATAACAAGTGCTGTTTTTCTGAGAATTCATGCAGTTCCTAATTCTAATCACACAATGAATCACTCCTAGTTACGTGATTTTGATCTTCAACTAGGTCTGTCATGATACAACAGCAATTCCAGAAGTTTGCTTCCAAAGACCCAAAATACACTAATATGATCAGAAGCCTGAAGGATGCTCCTCTTCATCATTAAGTTTCAAAGCCAATCTACACACATTCTAAGAAATACTACAAGTACCTTTCTCTTCTCTTTTTATTTTTTAAATAAAAGCTATGGCATTCTACTTACCTTAATGACAAATTTGTCAGATGCCATGACAGCTCAGTGTAAGCTGGTCCTATAAAAACATCAATTAAAAATGATCAGCACTAGGAAAAACTCATTATGTCCAGTGACTAGGATTTTTTTTTTTTAAATCTATTAGTTTGTGGTTGGTTTTTTTTTCATTATTTCCACTCCTCATACTTGATATTTATACTCTGCTTCAGAGAAACTATGGAAAACTATTATTTAAAGGAGAATTATTTAACCACCTGTCTCAGCTCCTCTTACTGAACTCTACTATCAGACACTGAGCAACCAACACCTCTAATACAAAACTAGAACTATTTCCCAGCCCAGAACTACCAAGACCAATTAACCTTACTTAACCTAAAGAAACTTTCAGGTGGCAGCAAACTAAACCTGGAATATTCCTTTCCTACCATGTCAGCCACTGGCCCCTATGTGGATTTCCTGGACCTAGTTTCTCTTCCAAAATAATACCTTCACATTAAATCCCCTGGCATAGCTTAACGAATAAAGAATAAAAGAGAGAAGTAAAAAAAAAAAACAAACCAACGACACACAATTTTTAAAAAGTCTTTCTTTTAAGCAAACAAGACTAATAAAATATAAATATGATATAAAATTTAAAAATATATTAAAATATAATAAAACATATAATCATAATATATGAAATAATACCAGTTCTAGTCAGAGTCCTCAGAACTAAGCTCATCCCCTCCTGTCTTGAGGATACCCCATTTCTATGTAAGCAGGGAACCCACGACAGCTTATATACATCAGCAGTTCTACAAAAAGCCTCCTCCATCATGCTCAAGTTCATCAAGTTTGAACTGTTGCAAGAACTTTTCTTAACTGAAACATCTATTTGCTACTGGCAGTTCAAATAATCATGAGTATCATTTAAATCAGCTCAGGAATAGAGCACAATTGTTTTTTTGATGGGTGGATTAGAGGGGGATAGGTAGAATGGGTGATAGTGGGGAAAGATTAAAGACAGCATGGCTTCTCACAGACCATGCACGTTTGCACGCTCATTTAAAGCTCTAGACTAATACAAGCATAAAGCAATGTGACCTGAACACTATTTTGATTGCACAAAGTTTGAACTGAATTTCAGATATCCTCCTGCTTATCCCAAACAGGATTTAGATTGCTTAATTTGGCATACTGGGTGAGAAGCATTGGGCTGCACGAGCCCTTACAATTCCAAATAACTTAAGCAGCATTAATTCATGCTGGAATCTAAACCCAACCCCCTCCTGATGAGGGAAGAAAGCTCTAGTTAATCACTAAGACTTCTTTCCCCCCCCACAGAAGAGCACTGTAACTCACTCAGATGGCTACAGCCTTCAAACAGACTTTCAGAACAAGCCACTGGTCTAATCCAAACTCATTTCACTTCAACTACCATTTTCCAAGCCGACAACTATTGTAGTTGCAATACTGTCCATCACTGATGTGGTTGCAGACAAGTCCATCACTCAACACATAACACAGCTAAACATTCACATGCCAAAAGGTAGCAAGTTAAGTAAAACCAACAAAAGCCTTTCCAGCTAACTCCACAATGTTTTAATTCCAAAGAGACACAGAATAGGCCATGTTACCAAATTAATAACAATACAAAAACAGGGAGTTAAAAAAAAATAAGATACATTCTGTTTTCACACAGGAAAGGACAAAAGACAAAAGATGCGGAAAGATGTGGATTGGACTGAAAATCAAGTGAATGAGTGTCTCTATACTGGCAAAAGATAAAAGCAACAATGCAGCTCAAGCTTCAAATTAAAAATAAGTGTCTGTAGCTGCAACTGAAATTACAACAGAGAACAGAGCTGCTTTTCATATTCTACAAGATTCCTACAGAAGTAGTCTCCTAAACTAGAGAAATACAGTCAATTTTCTGATAGATAGTATAAAAAGAGAGTTAAAATTCAGGAATACATACCTATTTTTCACCATAAGCTTCCAGCTACTGTAAAGCATTGTCAGAGAGCTGTCAAAATTTCAGGACACAAGTCTGGTTGGTGATATTTGTCTCTGTCAGACACTACACTTACATATTTAAAAACACAGTCATTTTCCTTATTTAGCTTCAAAAAAGTGTGAAACAAGATAAAGAACCACTTCAGAACTACATAGCACAGATAATTATGATCTTAAGTTCCAACAGCGGTAATTTTAACTAGACTATTGCTTCCTTGCAGCACTTTCATTCCACATATTCAAATGCTGAGAACTGACATCTCAGAACAACTGCATGAAAAAGCAAAAGCAGCAAGAACACAATTCTGTGTACTGGCTCAATGAAAACTCCCAAGTACTTCAACGATTTGTCTACGTACGTCAATTCCAAAGCAGTAAGAAACAGAAATGGTGGAAGTATTATAAGCAGTGAGAAATGAACCAGTTGTTACTGTAAGCAGGTTAAGACCCACACTGAACTGAGAACCACCATGCAAGTAGTTACTGAAAATCAACCTTAAGACAGCTAAAAAGATGGTTTTGTTACACTCTAAAGAAAAAAAAATAAAATAAAATAATCAAAGGAATGGTATGTACTGCAACTCATTAGCTATACAGTAATACTAAGCAGAAAGTAATACAGAGAAGGCCAATTTTTCAGGTAACAGCCACACAGACATGAACTGGAATACCATGTCTTGCACTGCAAGATTATCATTCTCTCTTGCACAAAATAACCCTAGGACCTTCACTAACTTATGAATTCACTTTATCTATAGAGTTTCAGAAACAATGTAAGGAACAGTGCTCTTGACAGCTTGTAAAAGAGTATTCCAATTCAGCCAGGCAGTAAGGTTCTGCTGCACAGAATAAATGTAGCAGAACTATTATAAGAATCTTAGAAAGAGATCATTACTGAGTTTGAACTCAGTAACTCAGTAGCAGCTGTTAGAACTTGGTCAGATAGAAGCTAAAAGGAATGAATAGCAGCCACAAAAGCAAAAAACAACAACAACACCTGCATTTCTCAATTTCATACAATGATCTACAAAATTGTACTCCTGGTGTTCAGGAACAGCAAAGAAGGACTACTCAGTCTACATGCAAAAATATAAAGCAAGCAGTAAGATACATCACAGCCCTAACAACACTCCACAAAACACAGACTCTTACGACGTGTCGGATTCTCTGCAAGAGCAAAAGAAATCTAGTCTCCCTATTCACACCAGCTGTGATTTTCATTGTTGAAATTTCAGTGAAAGACTAGTATCTAGAGGTTTACTAATGATCCCTACACTTCTTCACCACATCCAAAATAAGCAAACAAAAATCAAAAAATAATAGGCATAAATAACAAAAAATAGTTGTGGTATATCACTTTTGAGTTGCATAGAGCACACATTTCACATCAGTGATGGAAGCCTGGGAACTCATCAATATTTGAAGAGCCCATGTTTTATCGTTAACCCTTACTTTAGTAAAGATACAAAGAAGAGTCGAAATAATGCCAGTGTCGAAGTAATGCCACCTTTTCTTCAAATGCTTATATCCTGCTTGAAAACAAGAAGCGAGTATGCATCATCTGATATTTCTCTGGCATCACCAACATAACAACATGCCACCCAACAAGGATGCTGTTACTGATGTAACCACGACCCTTAGTAGAAAGAATTCTTCCCCAAACCTAATTTACAAAGCAATAAGAGAAAGAAAAAAAGATTTAAAAAAAATCACAAAACAAAACACTATAATATTGACACCGAGGAATGAGGGAAGAAATTCCACAATAATGATACAAGAAAAGATGCCATTCATCTCTAAAATACTTTGATATTTACTATGTTGCAATCAAAAGATGAAGATCTGCTATTTTGTAACAAAATCTGATTCGTGGAATACTGCATCCACCACAAAATAACCCAAGTCCTAAATGAAATCAGCCGTAAGAAGGCATGAAGACAGCTACAGAAGACAGAAAAACCTAGCTAAGAAATTATACTCTCTAAAATACAGAAGTCTTGATATGGTGTTTGTAGTATTTCAAACATCTAAATTGTTGATGGACATCCTGCACCAACAAAAAAGAACAAAACAAACAAAAAAACACAATGAACAAACAAACATCAAAACAAGCCCCAGAACTAAACACACAACCTCCTGGTAAGAAGCATCAGGTATGTTCTAAAAATGACACAATCAAATACTTTCCTTTCTAAAATTTAAAGTCAAGTGAAATGGCAGATACTTAGACAATTGAGGAAATAAGGCTTCCCAGAAAGCAAGTTTTAGCAGAAATGATAAGCCATGGCCTGAACCAGTGATGGAGCACTTGGTAGGAAGGCAGGGCCAACCTAGGGGAGCTCAGATGCATGCAATCCTGAGTGACTGAAACAGGTGAAGCCAGGATCCCCCCTTCCCAAATCTAATTTAAGGGTTGGCAGTGGAGGCAAAGACATCTTTTTCTGGAGATCCCTACCTACCAGAGGCCTTCCAAGGGTAAGCAGCTCTTTTTCTTCATTTCTATAGTTACTGCATTTGGGTTCATTCTCATTTACTACAGAGAAAGGCTTTGCTACCCTGCTAATATCATAGTACTTTCTATCCCATTATAGCATTACGTAAATCAGTTAGCTGATAAACAGCATCTTACCCCACTGAAGAAGTGGCTTTCAGTGCTAACAGAACAGAAAAACTCTTGCCACACATACCTGCATACAGCAGCTTCTAACACTGCAAACCGTTCATGCTCTGCCTATCCCTGGGGGCTGTTATCACATGTGAGAAGAGGTGGTCACCTGAAAAAAAGGCAAAACCAGAACAATAACTGGATATCTCTCTAAGATGTGCCACTGTTAGTTATCACTTATAAAAGAGTCAAAATCAACTACCATAACATAAGACTACTTTTCTGAACTCTCTAGAGCTTAGATGTTGGACAGCAAGCACTGCCAGTGCTCTGGCAGATAGCTTCTAAATGTTGACCCTGGACCTTGGGTCAGCAGGGTAACACCATGCAACACACATACTTATAAAGCATTTCTGCTTCTGCAGAAATATGCCACTACTTGGGGGCATTGTTATCTCAGTAATTCCAGTCCACTGTACCCATTTTTTTTTCCACTTCATCAGAAACTACTCTTCTAATAAGGTTGCATTTTTTTCAGTTCATTATTATCTGAATGCTTCCATTCAGAGTGCCAATTCACCTTTAGTGTACAACAACACCAGTGCAACAACGGCTGTTTCACCTACACAGCTGTTGATGTTTGAAAGCAATGAGATGCACACCACAGCACCCTGTCAGATGGGCTGGCTGTGATTTTTCTGGCCTCGCTGAGTGAATCCCAGCTGTTCTATATATCTTTCAGAATTGCTGTGCTTCTTTCAGAGTAGACACTTAAGTTTAAGTTAATTTCTAAGAAACCTGCCTTTTGGCTATGGTTATAAACTTTGCAATCCTCCATCAACTTAAAACCACGGGCAAATACGACAGAAATGTTACTGACAGAGACTGAAGGAACGGGGAGAGCAAAGAGTGAACACAGCAGTACCGAGTAAGATAAGCAGCAGGAAGCTCGGATGAGGGAGCTCAGGCACTGAGCACGTCTCACACTCGCTCCGGTCGGCTCACACGTGTACCTGCACGACGGCTCGGCCAGAGGAGCGCAGGAGTGAGCGGGACGCGCAACGGCCGGCAGCGAAAACGAGGCGGCTTTTTTAAAATCAACGGAAGCTTCAGGAGGCGGAGCCTGAGGGGCGGCCGTTACTCCGAGCCGCCACCGCGCGCCTCTGCTTCCAGGGAAAGCGGGACTGCAGCCTGAGACGCCGCGGCTCCAGGCAACGAGACCCGGCTCGGGAGCAGCGCTGCTCCGCCGCGCTCGCCCCGCGTCTCCTCCCACGCCGTGCCCGCCTCCAACGGTCCTAACGGCTACGTTGCCCCCAAGCAAGATGGCTGCCAAACGCGAGCTTCTTCTCCCCTATCCAAAATGGCCGCCGTCTGTAGCCGCGGCCCGCCCAGCGTTTTGCCCTAAAGTAAAATGGCCGCCAGGGCGGCGGGTGACTGCAGGAGAGCGAGTGCACTCGTTGATCATGTGATTTAGGGCTGACCAATGGCACGCAGGGAGAAGGACTCCTCGCGTATATTCGCACGAGCCCCGTTCGGGATGGAAGAGACGCTTCCGGTCTCCGCAAGGCCGCTTCCTGCTTCGGGGGTTTAAACGCGCAGGCGGCCTCGCGCGTCCCCTGTCTCTTGTCCTGGCCCGGCTTCCGGCGAGGTGCGAGCTGAGGTGAGCGCTGGACGGTCGCGTCTTTTCTCCAGCTCGTTCCTCCTGCATCAGGGCGGCCGTCGCCCTGTCGGCCGTCTGCGTCTGGAGGTTGTCAGGGAGGGGCGTGTTACTGGGTGAGGTGGGGGCTCCCGCCGGCACGGCCCTGCGGAGGCACCTCAGCCTGGTTTTGTGGGGCCGGCTCAGAGCAGGAATTCGCGTGCCGGGTTTTTCCTCGTCAGTGAGAGACTGAAGCGGCCGGGAACGCTTGCTGTCTGAGCTGTACGTTTGTAGCTCTTCAAGCCAAGAAGATGTCCTGATATAAAATCAAATACTTGTAATTGTCGCTTGCTGTGTATACGTTGGTACGTACTTCTCCATAAGACTTCGTGTGGGCTGTTCTTCGTTTTCTTCATAAGAGCGGCTGAGTTCACTTTGTAATGCCCTTGTAGTTTCTGAGGCTGAAGGGCACGGAGGAAAGGCAGGCAGGCTGAGCTGCTGCCCTGGGCAGCCTGGAGTGCTATCAGAAGCATTGCGGCTTGCTCAGCCTGCAGGCTAAAAGCTGATGCTCTCTGAGGGGCCCCCTGCGTTATTGTTAACTGCGCGGGAGAAATAGTGCATTTGAAACTACTTCAAGGTGTTCGTTTAGCTTTCAATTACTTGCTGCCTGAGGTGGTAATATGTGATTAGGGAAACGTCACAAAGCTTTAACACGTAGTTTGCCAAAACTTGAAGCAACGTAGTGATTAACAGATCAAGATGTCTGAATTGAAGTTACTTTTAAAACCTTTCTTTTCCTGGAGGTCGTAAAGTAAAGCTTTCCTTTGTCATGCTGTTGTAATCATTTGCTGTGCTGTAATTGAAGATATTTATGTTTGAGTTTTGTACTCTTATAAGAGAAAAGAGAAGTTCTGAAATATATTTTAATTATTTTTTCTAGGTACATAAATGCCAGTTTATGATGAAACTCAGAACTTTATGGAAGGACTACAAAGTTCTGATTGTTATGGGAATTAGCCTTGGCCTGGTGCACTGGTCGTGGTTCCACATCAAGTCCAGTCCTCTTTTCCAAGTGAAGACAGAGGAGATTGTTCCAGAACCTGGGATTGTGACATACGTAATGCAAAGTGATCGCAAAAATAAGGAAGAATAACATCAGGGCTGTGTTTTAGGTAAGCTTCCTAATCAGTTGTGCCTGCATCTTTGAGGCAGGAGATGTGTCAGTTAAATCACTTCTCTAGAAAATGCAGTATCAGTGCTCTGGTGTTAGTCTTCTAGAGTTTCATTCTTTCGTGGATGAGTTAACCTACTAGTTACATGACTTTTTTAGGTGCATGTAAGTTCTCAAACTGTTTATCAGTCCTGTATTAGTGGGATTAATTATGTGATGCTGTTATGGGTTTTAAAAGTTATTCTGAAACAAACTCCAGTCACTTTTCAAGGCAACAGTCAAACTTGTGTCTGATGTGGTATGTAACAGTGTCCTTTCTAGGTTCAAAACTAGTCAGAATTATGACTTCACAGAGTATAATGTACTGTGTTGTAAGTCTAACAGTCTCTAATGAGAGAGGTCTCTGTAGACATCATAGATATATAGATGTAAGTAATGCATCTTTACACTTCTAAATATTTAAGAGCTAATTAAGTGCATGCTGTATAAGTTTAAGTAAGAAACCCTCCTTGCAGAGGCAGAGATAGAAGTTGTTTAAATGTGCTAAGATCTTTGTTTCTGTAGTGGCTCATGGGAAGCAGTGCTCAGTATTTTACTTTTTTGTTCTTTGTTTAAAAACAGCTTAGCATCACTGTAATCTGACACTTTCATGCCATTTAGTGTATTTTGTAGTGCTATGCCACCTATCAACCTATACATAAAACCTAGAGGTCAGAAGTGAAAGTAATAATAGAATGTGTAGTTTATGTATTGCATATCTTTAATTGAAAAAAACACATTATATAAGTATCATATTGTAGTTTTTGTCTGTATGTGAAGTTTTCCTGGGGGAAAAAAATAAGCATTTAAAGCTGTGTGATACTGGTGTAAGATCATGCTAATACCTAATAATCTTGTTTTTATGTAGGTATAATTAACTTTGAAACATCACCTGTGAGTATTGCCAGAAGAGAAGATGAGGAAAGCTAGCTGGAGTAAAAAGAACTTTCTGCTTGTGGCAGGACTGTCACTTATAGGTGTCCATTTTGGAACCATGCTTGTAAACTTTGTTGCAAAAAAATCTGCTCGATCACATTCAGAAACTAAGAGAGATGATCATCGTGAATGAAGTAGCTTACAGCTGTCACTATCAATTTCACAGTGGGATTTAAGCCTCATTTTGAGATGGCTGGTGTGCAGAATCAAATGTACTTAGCATATTGTTTTACACTTAAAATAGTAATCTTTGTCAGCAAAGAATAAAAATGTACTGCTTTAAAGTGCTGTGAATTCTAGATCCAAGTAAGAATGAAATCATTTCTGTTTATCAGAATTAAAATCTAATTTTGAAAATGTCTCGCCTTGAAGGTAAAAAGCCTTCATTATTTACTCGTGAACCTTTAACTACAGTTAGTCAGCCACTGTCTTTGTTAATTGCAATATTAAAATCTTGCTATGGGCCTGCTGGTAGACTTAAGCAGATCCACAATGGCATGGGAGGCTATGTTTGTTTAACTTCACAATCTTCAGCCATACTTAGTCATATTTCTGTCAGTCACCCTGTATTAAAGGTTTTGATGGCCTCTGTACAGAACCATGTGTCCCGCTTCAGTGACTGTGGCTTATTTACTGCCATTCTTTGTTGTAGCTTGATTGAAAGTTTTAAAAACCTAAATATTGCATCTTGCACTGTCATAAAAATAAGCAAACATCTTTTGAGTTTGTGTACTGACTACCTCAAGTCTGAGGCTTGTGGTTGCCGAGTATCTGTGGATTTTAGTAATCTTGAGACTCTTCTTTGTTTGGTACGTAGCATATTAATAAGCAAACCTGCTTGCATGCTTAATAAAACAGAGGTTGATCATCTTGCTGTGCTAATTGTAAAGGCTTTCATGTTTACTGTTCCATGCCATCCTGAAACTAAGCCTATTTTAGGAAAATGCGTAACAGTACCTGTGAAAGGTAGAAGAGTTCTAGATTCTGCAGTTATTCCTGGACTGTTGATAGAAACACCAGAAGTTCAATTTGCAAAACTGTTTTCTGTCAAAAGAAGTAACTCCGACAATGTAAAGGTAGCAGTTTTCTGTGTGTCCATGTCAGGAGACCTGTTTGGCCCAGAAGAAGGAACACTAACAGTCCACCACGGAGTTTCTTTAGAAATGTCAGAGCTGGATCAGTTGCTTAATGTAGGAAAGCAGTTGGTTAATGATGAAGTTGGCCTTGTAGTGTGCCAGAAAGTTATCCATCCATCATTGAAAAAGTATCTGAAAGATAACCATGTCATTGCTGTGGACAGGGCAGGGCTATCAGTGATGGAACCCCTGAGTCAAGTGACAGGTAAGAGTGATTTTTTTTTTTTGTATACTGAATAGTTACTCTTGCTGTTAGTCTCATAATGAAAACCTTTCTAGATTGATGTCATTGTGGAGCAGGAATTCTCCTATTTGTCTTTATCCTACCATAGCAGCAGAGCTAGTGTTTTAGACTAGAAAGTGCTCCTTTCCATTCTAAAACCGATTCCAAAAGAGTTTCATCTTGTGCTGGCTGGCTGCAATGATCTACTGCACATTGTTCTATGAGAAGTATATAATTGTAGCAACTATTTGCACATGTCAATTGTTTTCAAACTCTTATCTAATGAGAATGATAAAATTAGTTTTTATCTTGAACCAAATCTTACACTTTGAAAGCATGCTGGTTTCTGCTTGAGATTGTATGTGTAGACTCAAATGTTAATTATTGTAGCACATAAAATATTTAAAAAGCTTGAAGGAAAAAGGTTGATGCTTTGTGAAATGCAGCGGATGGCTATTCTGATGACAGTAATGCATGCTGTTCTCTTCTTTTTATAATTGGACAGGTTCAAAGCCTATAGCTTCCATATACTCACTGTCTCCCAGTTGTTATGGCAGTTTGAAGGATGTGTGTGCCAAGAGTTTTGCCTCCAAACATTTTGTGCATCTAATTCCTAATGACACGGTTGTTTGCAGCTTGGTACTCTGTAACAGAAATGAAACAATTTGGGATGAACTGAAGGTAAGCAAATTTTGAAACTTCTGTTGTGATGTTTTCAGTGAAAAAATTAGAAAATGAGAAATACAAATATAGTGGGTTTTTAACAGTGAGCTTTGGTACTTAAATGGAGCTTAGTTAGAGTTTAGGAAACTTCAAAACAGCAATTTAGAAACTCCTTCATGTCCAGACCTTAAAAATCCTTGGAGTGCTTGTATTTGTGTAATGCTTCTTATTCAGTAGGTGAAAACATCTTGTTTCTGAAGTCAGTGCTAAGTAGATGTTTTCTTTCTCATTGGTTTATGGGAGCATAAATAAATTGCTCAGGAAAAGGTCAGCAGTATTGCCTGCAGTGGCAGTGAAGCGTAATTTTCTTATTGAATAGTTACTCTAAAACTGGTGTTGATGCAGGTCATCTTTTTTATAAGTCAGTTTTACAAAAAAGAGTGAAATACACCTTTCATTTTTATTTCAACACTTGTAGAGTGTGGACGAATAATGACATTTCTTAGTCAGTAAATGTGGCTTTGGAAGCCACTCAACATGTTTATATTCACATTTCAATTTATGAAGTCAGTATCAGGAATTACTAAAAACTTTATTCCAGTTTGTTGTGTTTTTTAATTTGGTGAAATCCTATTATGTTGTTTGTAATGAAAAATTCACATGGTTTTCAGCGTGCTTGTGAGACTGCGGAGCATGTGTTGCAGTTAACACTCAAGGAACCCTTGGCATTGTTAGGAGGTGGTTGTACTGAAACTCATTTGGCTTCGTACCTAAGACAAAAGGTATGTAAGAGGGTGTTTTAAAGCTATTTAATAAACTTAGTAGTCAAGAATTTCACAATTTCTTTTACAGTTAGTATATTTGTTACTTGCCTGTTGCATGTTTGTTTGAGTCCATAAAACAAAGGTGTCTTATTGAAGCACTTCATTAATGGCATCTTTCATTTCAGAATTTCATTAATATTGCACTTGGAACTGTTTCTTTAGGTATCTGTAGTGTTTAAGTGTTATGATAAAAATGTGTAGACTTTAACTGAATGATAATCATGCAGGACTCAGCTTTGACAAGTCTAGAAGCTTTTCCTATTGAAATAATGAGCAAATTAACAATTTTTCTGTTGACTGTGAACTCTTTAAAAAAAAAAATCATATGTTTGACTAAAGCCATTCTCTAAATCCACCATTCTAATTGTTTTCTTTTTTCTTTAAAGATTTGCTGTCTGTCCACTAGCAGTTCTAAAGATGTGGATTGTTCTCAGTCACAATACCAGTTGATCGCTGATGCGTTTTGTCACTCACTGGAGTCTGTAGCTTGTTCTCTGAGTCATGATGATGGAGAAATTATCACTGATATGGCTTATGGACACTGTTGGCTTGTTCCATCAGGATTTCCTTCTGTCTCTAATTGGTCAGATCTACTTTTGAAATGTGGCTGCGGAATAAACAGTAGCACAAAGGATCTCAGCTGGAGACATTTGCAACCCCTCTTTGGCTCTCCTCCTATAGAGAGCTGCCCAAAAGAGCCTTCCATAAAGGTTGCTGACTTCATGGCACTGGACTGCTTTGCTGCAAAGTATAATGGCCTGCAAGTAGCTGTGGAGACAGCCAATTTGATTTTGGATCTCTCATGTATAATTGAAGATCAAAATTAGTTCTGTGATGTGAATTGTGTTGTGCAGTCACATTACTCTGCTTTCAATTAAGAATCTATAACATATTAAGGTATTTGGGAATGGTTGATTATGGATGACAGACAGAAATTAAGTCAAATAGTTGGCCAGTAAGTATTCATCTAATTGTTCATCTACAGATGTAGCATTTTCAAACGTTGAACGTGTTAAACTGCTACATGGTTAACCATGTATTCTGTGAAGCACCAATTATTATATTCAAAAAACAAATGACTTTTCAAAAATTTTCTAAGAAACTCAAATGTTCTCTAGAAAATAGCGCTGAATTTAGAGTCTGCCTGGTGGTCTTCCTGTACAATGCAAGGTGTTGGATGTTCCTGTCAACTCCATGACCTCTTCAGAGGAATGGGGGAAACTGATTGACTTACTGAGAAAATATGGATTAGAATTTATGTAGCCTTTGCAAAAGCTTTACACGTTCAGACAGACCTTTGTATTGTGGCACGACATTATCACTGTTTTTAATGTTTTAAGTAAAAAGAGAATATCTTCCTTAGCAAGTCCCTTAAGCAGCATTTCTTATTTTCAAATTTAGTTCTGAAGACATTTTAGCCCTTTTCTGTATGCACTTTGTTTCTAAATTTCTGGAAGATTTTCAATTCACATGTAACTTGTTTAGCAGGGTATTAAGCTCAACCTGAATCTCTTAAATGTAGCAGGTAATGACACACTTGAGGGGAAAAAAAAGGCAAACTGAGGGTGTGAAAAAAGCTTTCAGACAGTGGACCCTTACCGTTGTCTTTGGAATACAAGATGGCTTATAAATAATGTTTCTACCATTGAAGCAAAGCTGCAAAAATGTGCCAGTTACCATTCACTTAACACTTTGTGCATTGCTTCTTTTAAAAGGGCTTTGAAGTTTTCAGGCTTATTTTGATCTTTAAATAAGGCTGATTGTGAAGGTTGATTGAAACTTTCTCATTTTCAGCATGCATGTGAGATCAAAAAGGTTGTTACAATTTTTTCCTTTTTTTAATCCTTTTCTCCTCCTTCTGTTTTCAGTCACAGGGAACAAATATTCATCACATGCCTTTCCAGAAAATGGCATTACTTATAGCCTGCTTATTTTTCCTGATCTCTCAAGGTTTTAATATATGTACTGAATATAAACAGTGACATTGTCTTGTGTAACTCAGTTTTGAGAGGTGTAATTAAAAGCAAATATTTCCAGGCCTCTTGTACAGACTTCTTCTCATTTTTATGAACATCATTTTATTACGGGGGGAGAGGAAGTTAAATTTATTTCTCTTCATGATCTGAAATGATTACCTCAGTGCTATAAAGGCATCCTTTGGGAATTTGTTACAGGAGTTATTCATATCTTGATCTTCCAATATACTATGAAAAATATGAAAGCATAAGGAATAATGAAGCTAAATGATTGCATATACCCAAAGGCACAGTCTTAGTAAGTTTGTCTCCCAGAGTGGCTGAAAAGGATAAATAAGCAGCTAGCATGGCTTCCTATGGGCAGTTCAGACTCAATTCTCATTTGTGCTACTAACTTCCTATACCTGTAGAGGTTTAGTGTTACCTCTTGGGTTAGCATGTTTAAGCAACCAATGTAATATGGTTGCTTCTCACTTTGCTATTTCAGTATCTGTTAGGTATTGAAAACTTTCAAGTAAGACCTGAAAATGCAGAGTAATTTAGTCATCTTTGTTTTTCTATTACTGCATCCTATTTTCAAGTAGGACTCCATTAAACATTTGGGTTCTTAACCAATATCAAAACACCAAAGAAAACTGCTCTTCAACAGTTCTGCTATAAAGGGGACTGCTCCAAAAGTAATGCTTCCTATTCTACTACGTTGGTCTATGACATGGGAAGTGCATGTTGGTGGTATGGCAGTAGAGGTTGAAACTTCCCACCGATATTCCATTTCTTTTTATTGCTGTGTGACAGGTGGCAGCAGAGGGGCAGTCTGACAGAATGGCATCGGACATGGAAGTGGTCGTGGAATAAAAGGGTGGTACTGAACTCCTCAGTGTGGAAGAAAATGCATCCACTGATACCCACTGCACAGCGAGGTGGTGGGTGGTGTGTTCAGCAGTGGTGACAGCAACACTGGGATGCCTCTTATGGGGCAAATTTCTATACAGCATGCAGGCTTTTGTTCACTGCTGGTGAAAGCACATAATGTTGATGACTATTCAAAAATAGTGTTTTATAGCTGAGAATGTGCTCTGTCAACTAGTGCAATTGTGCTTGTTGTACCTGCTGTAGTTTCCATGGAAATAAATGGGACACATTTATTTTGTAGCAACCTATGTAAAAACAGATTTGAGTTCAAGAACTATCAGTAGCACAACACAGATATTTCAAATGTGATCAGGCCTTTCTAGGCTAACCAGCCATTATAGTTTAGATCCCTCCCTGTAAGAGAAGAAAGTATTTATTGTTGCCAAAATCTGTAAGAAAAATATTTCTTGTTATGTAAGAAGCACAGTAGAGTATGTACAAACAAATTGGTTTACTTTAAAACTGATCTTTAAACTTCTGCCCTTAATTTTCTGTGCTGAGTAGCAAAATGCAGTATGTCATGTTTTCAGCAGTGCCATGTGAAGTGAGTCATCTGACTACTAAGCTGTTCAGTCTCAGAGAAGTCAACATCCATGAGTCAATGTCATAGCAAGAAATCTTTAAACCGGATTTGTATTTATTACTGTTTTGAAGATGCAGACACGGTCCCTTTATTGCAAAGAGATGCCTTCCATCGTGCTTACAGTATATGTGGAGACTGGCTGTGCGAGAGGGCAGTTGCTGCTAATACATGACAATGTTTATTTAAATATTTTTAGTATTTTTTTATTTCTACTTGTTTACCAGCAAGGATGAGCTTCGTGGTACAAATAACTTTTTGGCCAGTAGTACTACAGTCTTAACTTCTCAATTAAGAAATAACTTCACTTTTTGCTGATATACCTTGTCCTGGAAAAATTAGTCATGCACATCCCCCCATTTCTTCTTTATCCTGGAAGCAGAAATGTGGTCACAGCCATGCATCTTTAGTAAAAACACCAATAAAACCAAAGGCAGACTAGGTTCCAGCATTTAGCTGGTGGGCACTTTGTGCCATTAATACATAGAAATATCTCAGGTATATGTCTCCTGTAGACTTTTATTTTTCACCTTCCTGCAAACTTCTTTATTAAGTTAAAGTATTAAAAGTTGAACTTCCAAATCTGCTTCCTTGTGAGAATTGTTTGTCAGAGCTTTCACCATGCGTTGTGAAGGCCACAGCTGGGCACAGTCTGGTTTTGGCAGACTGCTCATGTTCTATTTTGTTTTCTGTTCTGACAGATCAGTTCTCTTCAGGTTCACATTACATACTAGCATCCTGCTGTTACTATGAGATGTTAGCTAAGCGTTTGCTAGGCAGTAGCATCCCACAACATCAACAGATATTCTTTACCAGTAACTATTCATTTTTATAAGCAGTTATGTCTTTCACAAAAGCACCTCTTCTTCAACTTTAAAAGCCATCCTTAGCATCTCCTCTTTCAGGCTCGTGATACTGTTAGTCTCATCTGTTCCACCTGGGGAGGACTGGGTAGAGCAGGTGGGAGGTTGGGGCGGAATTAGTTTCACAGTCCCTAGCTATGACTCAGCTCCCCTCTGAGTCATTGCTTCTGCGTGAGGCTAAGTAGGAACTTGTGCTGATAAATAGCGTACTCGAGGGTTATGACGGAGTGATTTTCAGGGAATTGCAGTGACTATCGTAGTCACAGCTTTTGAAAGACTTTGTGACTTTGAGAGGCTGAAGCAGTGCTGGTGTTGTGCTTTGATTTATTGCTCTGGCGTGTGTTATTACCCTGCTCCTGTGCCAGTGGATCTGTGGGGGTGGAACGGGGCTGGGGGTGGTGGCAGGACGGGAGGCACAGGGGCCGATTTGGTGGGATCATCCTGACGAGCACACTTTCGAAGGGAAAATTCTGTGGGGAGTCGCTGGCCAGCTGCCCTCCTGCTCTCCTGACAGGACCAAAGGAGGAGATATTCGAGGACGTCGTGTTGAGGGACGTGGTTTAATGAGAACTATTGGTGATAGGTGGATGGTTGGACTGGATGATCTTGTAGGTCTTTTCCAACGTTAGTGATTCTGCGAATATGGTGCGTTTGCTTCTGGCTAGAGATAAGGCACCTCCTCCTCTTCCCTGTTTCTTACCCTTTTCCCCTCGCGTTTTGCCGCCTGGTGCCGTTTTGTCCGTCCTTAAATCCACCCGCCCGCAGCACGCTGTGGAAGCAGCCAGAACCTTCTGGAGCCAGCAGGGGGCAGCGCGGCACCCTCACAGAGCCCCACTGCCTGCAGCTCCTCTGAAATACCCCAGAAGGTGCATTCGCCTTGTGAGTCCTGCTTCGTTGGTTGTTGAAGAATGTGGGAAAAACGCTGGTTTTAAAGAAAATTGCAGGGGGGAACAGTCGATGTTTGTGTAGAGGGCGCTTCGGGAGGCGTGTGCTGCTCTGAGATGGCGCCCAGACTCGGGCAAGGCTACAAAGGGTAAAGAGAACCCTAGCTTCACTGGCTTTGAAGGACATAAAAGTATGCTTGTTGATGGCTATTACTGAAGGCAGACATGGTGGTACCTGTGGAGAAATGAGAACTGGAAATGTGGTTAGTGACTGAGGAGCTTCCTCAGTAGGAAGCCAGCTGTAAGGGAGAATTTCTCTGAGAAGGGGAATCCTTTGGGAACTGCTGGGTGTAGGGCTCTGGTTGCGTTCAGTAGGAAAGACCCCCCACACCTACAAAGTTCTGGTTTAAGCACAGTTGGAAGATCCAAGAGCGTGCACGAAGCAGCAAGAGGATCAACTCCTGGCCCTTCTGGTAGCACCTGAGTACTGCACGCCGTGATGCAACTCAAAAAAGTGAGTTTGCTTTCTCTGCATATTGTTGCTTTCTGTCCTGTTACTTCCACTTTATGCAGGTAAGCAGTTATTGCCCTTACAGCAAATAAAGGCAGGAGAATTCTTTGCTTGGTTTTACATACTCTGGCCTCCTGTTCTTCAGTTTAGGTCTCACATGAAAAAAGGAAAAACATTTTGAAATTGTACCTAATTCAAGTGTTTACAATCCTGATCCTAGAAAGCATCTCCTGAAACTCTGCTTGTATTGCTCCAACATGATGAATTTCTGTGAGCAGTGCTACAGTTATTTCACTGCTTTATATTTGGCCTAGACGTGTTCAGTAAGCCAGGTATGGAACTGTTTTGTTGCGATACTTTGCTTGTAAGCATGAATTTGAGCAGAAAGCTTGTTTTTTGTTTTTTGTTTTTTTGTTTTTTTTTCAGTATCGTGTAGAGGCAGTGAAGAAATGCTGGGTCTGGCCACTTAGATGTGCTAATGTTCTCCAGCTGGGAGCATTTCTAATTGAAAGTTGATCTCAGTCGAAACATGATTAATCAGGCAGTAGATAAGACAGAGAACAATGTCCCTGCTGCCTCCTTTCGTCGAAAATAAAGAGCTTTTATGTGTGTCAGCAATGAGAATTACATAATACAAAATGCTAAGTGGAATAGTCAAGGTCTGTGCTGAGCAGTCCAACCACTTCTTTATTGCTGTGGTGAGAATTTCCAAATAACACATTAATATCTAAGGCAAAAGAGTGGAGAAATTAGCTTAGAGTTTTTAGAATGAAAATTGTTGTGTGAACTCTGTGAGTACTGAAATATTATCAAGTAAGGAAAACTATGCATTTGATATCATTTTAAATGTAAAATCTCTTCAAGGATTTCATGTATCAACATTTAACAGAATAGCAATGTTTTGAAAGGAAGATAAGTGAATGCATTTGTGTCCTGCTTTTAGGAGTTAAGATCCGTGGCATCTATTTAATCAAAATGGCTGCTAAATGAAGAATCTTGTTTCTAAAGCTGCATGTAAAACAGCAGATGTCACTCCAGTCTTTCTTACGTAGACCAGAGAAGGATTTGTTCCTACACAAGAATAAATATGTGCGATATTACTATTTACATTTAGCATAGTGTATGTTAAGAAATAGCTATTATATATTACAGAATTTCTGAGGTTAGCTACAAATGGCTGCTGTTTGTATGTACTAGAGAAGCACTCGGTGTCTGGCCTGTCTCCATTTGGATCTTTGTGTGTTGGCATATGTGGAAGCGATTTATAAACTCCTCTGGGCATTGAGGAGCAATACATACCTTTCTCTAATGTATGGCTTGTGTTTGAAGGTAACGGTGTTGTCTGTTAACTGAGGAAAAATATGCAGTGGTATGGCTGAATTTGTTCATACTTTGCTATGGGATACAAAGACACCAGAGTAGAAAGTAGAAAGCATTATACTTGTTTTAGAGATCACTTTTCATTGTTTAGAAAATGTGGGATAAAGTCACACAGGAATATATCTATTAAATCTAGTTCCTAAATTGCTCTTAGATTTGAGGGGGGAGGAACATTTTCCAGTATTAAAATGCACTTTCCAGGAAAATAGGTGTGGCATTGTTTTTAAAATTTGAAATAGTATAGCTACACATCATTGTGTTTTAAGAAAATTGTCCTTAATGATCCTCTGTTGTTACAGAGGCAAAAGCTTAGCGACTGTAGATCTCTGTGGTGTTACACAAAAGTGTAAATTTGTTGTGTGCAGACCAGTGAGTTCAATTCTCAATTATTAGTTTTTCTCCTGTGATTTGGATCTTAGTAATATCAAAAGTTATCCTGTTTTAAAAGTTTTGTAAACTTATATTATCTCTTCTCCAGTAAATGTATATAGAATTTTATTTTTGTTACTAGTTTTTGATACTTTACATAATTGATTTTTCCCACCTATCTTTAAACTCTAATTTTTTGAATCTTCTTTTGGAAAGGGTGGGATGAAAAGGTCTCAGAAATCTTCTTGCTTTTCTGTTTTCCTTTTAAAATGAAACCTTAAGAGTCATATTAAGTGATTTCATTAAAAATAATAATAATAATAATAATGACTTCTGGGTGTAAGACACTTTCTGGGGAAAAGCTTACCAGGTGGTTCTTTCTGGTTCTGTTAAGCAGTAACTGATAATTTTGGATTTATCATGGTAGAATTGCGTAGTCTAGAGAGAAGTGTTTACGTGAAGTGAACAAAAAACAAGGCGTAATGTTTGAGCTTTGCTAGTAGTTCTGCCTCTAAGGTAAAGCAGAGACGAGTTTACATTTTGCTGACATTGTGCCTCAGGCTTTGTGTAGTGAAGGATGTTGCAGATTGTTAACTTTTTAACAAGTTAATATTAACCTCTCTTGAGCAAGCCTAGTAACTTAAGAAGAACAGGATTTCCTATTAGGAAGTAGGAGTTTATTTACCTCTTTATTTGGTGATTTGGTTGTACATAAATGTTGTTGCAAGGTGGCAGGAAGGTGATATTAGAGTTTTCAAAGTGAAAGTGCAAATCTGTTCTAGAAATCATACATTTCTTTATCTGCTTTAAGACCTCACGGTGAGGCTGCCTTCAGTTCATCACTGGCTTGTGATTGCTCAAATTGCAAGTTTTTTTTACTTATCTGTAGTTCTGTTTCCAGATGGAGAATATTTGTCTACCTAAATGATGACTAGACATGGTGAGTGGCAAACCCAGCAGTAATTGTAAGGCACAAAATCAATTTCACAGCTGTAATAAGTATGATTTTAGAAACAGCCAAGAAATGTGGAGGAGCAAGTGGATTTGGAGCCACAGGCCAAAAGATTTTCATGTATATTTCTGTACATAGAGGGGAAAAAAAATCACACAATTTTATCATAATTTTGTAGAATGGCTCCCCAAATAGAAAATTGGATTGATATTTCCAGGTAATAAAGACATAAAATAGCTTATACAGCAAGTGCACTATGGTCTTTACTGTGCATTTAGTGGAAAGAAAGCTTTAACAGAAAATCACTACATTGAATATCTAATATGGTGAGTTTCAACTTTATTTAGCAAAGATCAAAATTACATACAGTATTCTTGTCACTTGCATTCAACAATGTTTAATAGAGAATGTGTAAATTCCATTCAAATACATGCTTCTTAGAGCTGTTAGAGGAAAAAAGAATTTGTCCTACCCAGAAATCTGACTACCAGTAGAAGTCTGGCTGAATGTGGTATTTACCTTTGTGTTAGAAAAGTCAATGAGATAGGAACATTGTTCTGTAAGGGGATATTTAGAAGCTGAAACTGTCCTTCAGGCTCTTTCATTAGGATCCTTAGAAGCAGAGTGATAATAAATTGAGTTTAGAAAATTATCTCAACAGAATGTTTTTGGTGTGATGAATTTGAAGACAGTGATAATTCTGTGTGGTTCTGACTAAATAGTCAGAGTCTGCGTTCTCTGTGTAGAACTCAATGGGGAACTTGGAGATTTTGTGTGAGGGGTGGTTGTCTACCAAAGGGACTCCACTTCAGCCAGAAGATACGTGCAGGAGCTGCTGTGTTCCCAGAGCTCTCATCTACTCTCACTGGTTTCTCTTGGCCTTGAAGAATGGGGTGGGAGGATGTTATCACAGTGCTTGGGGTCAGTTTAGCTTGCAACAGCTGGAGTTGCTGAGATTCTGGTCTTTTGCAATTCAAAAACACTGGCATGTTAACATTTGTCAAAAAGTGTTGTGTTTTGTTTTGTTTTTAAATGGGAGAAGTTACAGTGACTTCTATGGTAAGGAAATTTCCCTGGAGGTGTTCAAGGCCAGATTGGATGGGGCCCTGGGCAGCCTAGTCCAGCATTAGGTGGAATGGTTGGTGGCCCTGCGTGTGGCAGGGGGGTTGGAGATTCATGATCCTTGAGGTCCCTTCCAACCCTGGCGATTCTGTGATTCTGTGAAATCTGGAAAACTAATTTTATTCCTTTTCTTTAAAACAAACAAACAAACAAAAAACAAACAAGCAAACAAAAAAAAAAGATGAGTAAAGGAGGGCTTTTATCTGTTCTTTGTCCTGAGAGTGTGGAAATGTCTGTCATAGAGAATTTGATCTGTGGCTTGACTCATTTTGAGTACAGACGGCAGAAAGCAAAATACAGACAAAAAAGATGATCCCTGTCCTTAAAAGCTGTGACTGAGGATGAAACAAAGCAAGCATAGTCTCAGATGAGACAAAAATCCATGTTGACTATTATCTTTGTTCTTTATAGGGGCCTATAAGTGCCTGGGGAAGAATGGCAAGAACTTTGCTGCTGTTCTGTTAGCTTCCAGCAATCAGTAGTATAAGGACTTTTGGGGCAGGCTGCCATTTTTAATAGACAGTGTTAGGGCTATTTCCCAGTTATGCCTAAAAGTGTGGGTTTTTTTAGGTATGTCCTTATTTTTGTTCTCTTAAAAATGTATATATAAAGGGACAAAACAAGCAGGAGCTCAAATGAGATATCAGTTTTGCCATTGAGCACATCTAGGGCTGAGACTTGCTTGTGCTGGTTCTAAGACCAGTACCCAAAAAGTCATGATGAAAATACTTAAATGGCGTTCATTTTATTTAAAAACAAGAAAATTTTGCTTGAAGTAAAGGGTAGAGTGAGGCCTATTTTGTTAGATAATCATTAGGACAGAGCAAGGGTAGAAAAATGCAGCTTCTGTATAAATTAGAAGACAAAGCCCAACACAAGATTCTGTAGATCACACATTCTTGTGTGGGAAGAAGTGGTCCTTTGTCTCATGAGTCCCAAACTCATACTTTGTCTACAGAGGGTCCAGGGTTTTCTGTTTTACATTCACATCTTTATGAATTAAACAACAGGAGGTTGTTTGGTCTGGACATATGGGATTTTTCTGCTCAATACCACAGTTGGAGAACTATGTATGAAGTTAATACTGAAGTTTACTTGGCATTACAGGTTGAAACCTCTGAGATACTCTGTTCTTTTAGGGGACAAGTTTTGGCAAATTATTAGATGAGGGAAACAACTG